CAGATCGATATTCTCTCTCATTGATGTTTCTACCCCTCTCTCCCTTCCTCTTCCTCTCTCTCTAAAATCAATAAAGGAAAAAAATTTTTTAAGTAGGCTGTGATTAAATCAAAAGTCCTTTTAGCATTTTACCTCAAATGGACACTGTTAATTTGCCTAAATTTTATTTGACAAATAAATACATATTATAGAATCTTTTTCTTGAATTTCTCAGATTTTAAAGTACTGTATTAAAGGAAAAAATTAATGTCTTGAGTAGCATTCTTGTGGCAACATTATACAAATGTGAAATTGGGAAGGTGAGGCAGATGAGATATATTAGATTCAGGCCTTGAGCTTACAAAGCATTTTTATAAATGGAAAATACTTGAATTATAAAGTAGTTTGATGTAATGTTCTTTTAAAAAAAAAAATCAAGCTTTTTATTGATAAGGCAGATTTTTGTTTGAGTTTTTAAACTTAATCTGGAATAGATGTATTAGAGGTACTGCTATGCTGCACTAAGATTACTGGCAAATTATTTGATAGATTGTTCTTATGACTTGTATTCTGATTACAGAGAATGATCAGGAGTATAGAATAAATACAAGATAAAATCCTTTAAAATATAAACTTTAAAATCCTTTAAAATTCAAAGATATTTGAAAAAACAAGATAGGGGTGATATTGAAGAAGACACTTCTGAAAATGATGCTAGAGAACATGGCCCCCCAAAAAGTCTGGGGAAGGCAGTTCCTAAAGTCTGTAGAGAATGGTCTGGAGCCCTGGCCAGTTTGGCTCAGCGGTTAGAACGTCAGCCTGCGGTCTAGAGAGACCCAGGTTCGGTTCCCGCTAAGGGCATGTACCTCAGTTGCAGTTTGTCCCCGGCCCTGGTTGGTCGTGAGGGTGGCAGTGACTTGATGTGTCCCTTTCATGTTGATGTTTCTCTCTCTCTCTCCTCCTCTCTCTCTCTCCCACTCTATCTGAACAAAAAATGGAAAAATGTCCTCGGGTGAGGATAAAAAAAAAAAGAGAGAGAGAATGGTCTGGAAAGAGGAACTAAAAAGAAGAGCCTCAACACAGATGATGAAAAGCCCAGCCAGTGTGGCTCAGTGGTTAATTGTCAACCCACGCACCAAGAGGTCGCCAGTTCAATACCTGGTCAGAACACATGCCCAGGTTGTGGGCCAGATCTCCAGTGAGGATCATGCAGGAGGTAGCCAATTGATGTTATCTCTCATCGATGTTTCCATCTCTCTCTTCCTCTCCCTTCCTCTTTCTCTAACATCAATAAAGAAAACATATTTTTAAAAAAAGATGATGAGGGGACTTCCGGTCAGGATGGTGGGTAGGTAAATGCGGTATCACGTCCTCCCACAACCACATCCAAGTTACAACTAAACTACAGAACAACCATCATTCAAAACTGCCCGAAATCAAGCTGAATGGAAGTCCTACAACTACGGAATTAAAGAAGCTGCATCGAGACTGGTAGGAGGGGCGGAGGAGGACGGGCTGGTCCCACACCCACGTGTGGCGGATAAAAATCAGGAGGTTCCCTCGGCTGGGAAGGTCCTTCCTGAGGACTGAGGGGTCCCCGTCCCACACCAGGTGCCCCGCTCAGGGTCCCAATGCCAGGAAGAGAATCCCCATAACTTCTGGCTGGAAAAACCAGCGGGAACTGAGGCTCAGGGAAGCTGAAGCGGCTGGAGCCCCAGGCAGCTCCTTAAAGGGCCCACGCACGGACTTACCAGACTCTCTCCCTCTGAGCTTGGAGGGGAGGCAGCTCGAGGGGTACCAGAGACATACAGGGAAGAACTGAGCTGTTTGGCACTGGAGAGAGGTGAGGGGGCTTTCTCCGGGACAAACGTGCTGTCAGAGGCCTTTGTTCCTTTGGTGAGCCCTTCCCGGGGGTGGCAGACAGAAGCCATATCTGGGACTCCAGCAACCTGGCTCACACTGGTAGCCCCGCCCTGGTGATTCCCTGAGGCCCCGCCCCACCCAACTTTCAGGCCCACCCAAGCTGTTGCCACTTGCTTAACCATAGGATTGGCCTGTCTTGGATCCTGCTTCAGGTTTTTCCTAAATTCTTTCAAACGAGCAGCATCTGGTCTCAGCTAGCCCCATACTGCTTGTTAAGTAATACACAGAAACAAACACAGGGAGGCAGCCAAAAAGAGGAGGCAAAGAAACAGGTCCCAAATGAAAGAACAGAACAAAACCCCAGGAAAAGAACTAAGCGAAATGGAGATAAGTAACCTAACAGATGCTGAGTTCAAAATACTGCTTATAAGGATGCTCAGTGAACTCAGTGAGGGCCTCAAGAGCATAAAAAAGGACCTGTCAGAAATAATCGATGGCCCTGGCCGGTTTGGCTCAGCGGTTAGAGCGTCGGCCTGCGGTCCAGAGAGACCCGGGTTCGGTTCCCGCTAAGGGTATGTACCTTGGTTGCAGTTTGTCCCCAGCCCTGGTTGGGTCGTGCGGGTGGCAACCACTCGATGTGTCCCTTTCACATTGATGTTTCTTTCTCTCTCTCTCTCGCTCCCCACTCTATCTGAATAAAAAATGAAAAAATGTCCTCAGGTGAGGATAAAAAAAAAAAAAAAAAAAGAAATGATCGATGCACAGTTAGAAACAAAGGAGGCTTTAACTGAAATAAAGAATAATTTACAAAGATTCAATAGTAGAGTACGTAAATCCAAGAAGCAAACCATTGATTTGGAATATAAGGAAGCAAAAAATGCCCAATCAGAACAGCAAAAAGAAAAAAGAATCCAAAAAAATGAGGATAGTGTAAGGAGCCTCTGGGACAACTTCAAGCATGCCAACATTCGCATCTTGGGGGTGCCAGAAGGAGAAGAGCAAGAACAGGAAATTGAAAACCTATTTGAAACAATAATGGCAGAAAACTTTCCTAACTTGGTGAAGGAAAGAGACATACAAGTCCAGGAAGCACAGAGAGGCCCAAACAAGATGAACCCCAAGAGGCCCACACCAAGACACATCATCATCAAAATGCAAAAGGTTCAAGACAAAGAGAGAATCTTTTTTTTTTTTATCCTCACCCAAGGACATTTTTCCATTTTTTGTTCAGATAGAGCGGGAGGGAGAGAGAGAAAGAGAGAGAGAGAGAGAAACATCAATGTGAAGGGACACATCGAGTGGCTGCCACCCGCACGACCAACCAGGGCCGGGGACAAACTGCAACCGAGGTACATGCCCCTAGCGGGAACCGAACCCGGGTATCTGTGTACTGCAGGCCGACGCTCCAACCGCTGAGCCAAACCGGCCAGGGCAACGAGAGAATCTTAAAAGCAGCAAGAGAAAGGCAGCTAGTTACATACAAGGGAGTTCCCATAAGGCTGTCAGCTGATTTCTCAAAAGAAACTTTGCAGACGGGAGTGGCAAGAAATATTCAGAGTGATGAAAAGCAAGAACCTACAACCAAGATTACTCTATCCTGCAAAGCTGTCATTTAGAATCGATGGCCATATAAAGACTTTCCCAGACAAGAAAAAGTTAAAGGAGTTCACCACCAAATCGTTATTATATGAAATGATGAAGGGTCTTTTTGAAGAAAAAGATAAAATATATGAACAAACAAAATGGCAATGAATACATATCTATCAACAATGGAATCTACAAACAAAATGAACAAGTAGAACAGAAACATTCTCATAGATACAGAGAACATTTTCTTGGTTGCCAGATGGGAGGGGGGTTGGGGGAATGGGTGAAAAAGGTGAAGGGATTAAGAAGTACAAATTCATTGCTAGACTGACAAACCTGAAAGGGAAAGGGGTTGGGGGTGGTGGGAAGAAATAAACCAAAGAACTTATATGCATAACCAATGGACACAGACAATAGTGTGGGAAAAGGCGGGAGGGGGGCAGGAGTGGGGAGGAGGGGGTCAATGGGGGAAAAGTGTGGAACATCTGTGATACATTCTACATTCAACAATAAAGATTTAAATAAATTTAAAAAAAAGATGATGATGAGAAAGGCTTTGCAAAAGGTAAAGGTGATCCCTGAAAAGCAATTTGAAGAGGAGGATGATGCCAATGTCTCTGAGGAAGATGTCTTGGAAAGAGAAATCTGAAGACTGCTCTGAAAAAGTGTGAAGATAGCTCCCCCCTAAAAATAATAATTAGAAGAAAAGACCCTAAATTATAATTTGAGGATGATGGGTCTGAGAGTGATGAGGAAGCCCTAGGAGTACAAAGACTCAGATGCAAGGAAGAAGATGAAAAGTGATGATGATGCGTCAGCTGCAGGAGAGGAAGATGGCACAGGTAAAAAGTTGGAAGACAAGGATTCCAACAAGATGGTGCTTGATGAGGATCCAGTGAGAAGTGTATGCTGAGTCCGATGGGAAGGGGCCTGCAGGGGGTGCTGGCTATAAGGAAGGGCACTGCCCACAAGCAGCAGCTTTGTCCTCAGTAGTGATGATGAGGAGGAGGAAGAGATTTAATCTCTTAAACTCGTTTTCATGGAGACACCTCCATCTACCTGTGCCTACACTGTGGAGTGATTATTAGTGGTGTTACATGAACACATGCATCAAGATAGGCAGCCATCAGACTACTGTTTGGAAATTGTCACTGTAATTAGCACTCAATAATTTTAAATCTATTTTAAATGGCTGTTCAATTAAAACTTCATAGTCATAATGCAAGTTTAAAAAAAAAAATGGACGAAGTCCAAACACAGCACTAAAACACTAGCTATAAAAAGATTAAACTTTCCTATGAAAAAATGAAACTCAAGTTATGAAATAAAACACAAAATTAACAAATGCAGCCTAATGTGAAGAGAAATGTCTGAAATATTACCCGTGAAGACTGAATATAGGGAGATGGAAAGATATTAGAAAAGAAAAGAAAGCCTGGGTAAATAATTAGAATTCAATACAACCAACTGATTAGAAAAACTTTGGATCTGGTGACACTCGTTCACATACACCATTAAGTAAATCCAGTTGACTTTGTTGTAATTTAATTTTATTACAGCAGCAGCCTCTGTTTGCATGTGCTTGCATCTCCTAGTGTGTTGCTCATGGGATGCGTGCATGACACAAGGTGTTACTGCCCAAAGTACCAAGGAGGGGTGCAGGGGATGGGCTCTTCCTTCCAGATGGTCTTCAGCCTCTGGGACCAAGATGCCAGCATCCCCTTTCTTTCTTCTTCTGATACAAATTCAGGAGCAAAACTGATCTGAGGGGCAAGGACTTTAAATCCACAGAAGTGCAATGTCCCATGCTACAGCCACAAAGAAAGAGAAGACCTGATTAGAAGCCACACCCTTCACACGGCATTCAGTTAAATAATGAAAGAAGTGGTATGAAACAAAACTTCAGAAAACTGAACAACTTTTTTTAAATTGAATTTACTGACTTATGTTAGAGAGAGGAAGGGGGAGGGAGAGAGAGAGAAACATCAATTTCGTTGTTTCTCACCTGTACAATCATTGGTTGATTCTTGTATGTGCTTTACCAGGGGATCAAACCCGCAACCTTGGTGTACCAGGACCATGTTCCAACCAGCTGAGCCACTTGGCCAGGGCAAACTGCACAACTTGAATGCTGCTGGGTAACTGGGAACAACTGCAGTGCCCAGTAGCCTTAGGGTGCTGCCTCTACTGGGCGCTGAACTCTGTGCAACTGGAGGTTCCAAATTCTCTTCTGACCATTGAGCTGAGTCTGTAATCTTTGCTACTGATTCAGACACTAAACTTTATGGTTTTTATTGATTAGGCAAATTATGATACATTCATATGATGGCTTCTTCTAGAATGAGATTACAGTCGTCCCTCGCCACTTCGCGCTTCGACTTTTGCGGCTTCATTCTATCGCAGTTTTTTCGAATACGTTATTATATTTGAAAAAAACGTGATAGAGTGAAGCCGCAAAAATCGAAGCGTGAAGTGGTGAGAAACAACTGTGTATAAAGAAAGAATCCTACTTCATGAAAATTCATGTATCACGATAGAGTCTGGAACTGATTAACTGCAATAAATGAGAGCCGACTGTATGCTAGCTATAACGTGCCACCACGGGAGGTTTTTCAAGATATGTTAAATGGCCCAGCTGGTGTGGCTCAGTGGATTGAGTGTCATCCCATGAACTGAGACGTCCCGATTTGATTCCCAGTCAGAGCACATGTCAGGGTTGTGGCTCGATCCCCAGTAGGGGGCATGCAGCAGGCGACCAATAGATGTTTCTCTCTCACATCAATGTTTCTATCTCTCTCTAAAAAATCAATAAAAACATATTAACAAAAAGATATGTTAAATGTAAACAAGAAGTATGAAGCACATTTATGGTATACCATTTATGTAAAAAATTAAACCTAATAATAAAATGTATATATGTAAGAATATATATGGGCCATAAGAAAATATATGAGATTATTAAAAGTGATTTTTTAAAGGTAGAATTAGGAAGACTTTCTTTTTTTATATTTTATAGTCTCACTTTTATCTATAATTTGTACTTTTGCAAAGTGAAAAAATATAAAGATTTTTTAAAAACAAGAAGAACTTAAACCTGGCTAATGGCACATAAGAGACCAGTTGGCCAGTGGAGAAAGAAGTGCGGGCTTGTAGCCCGGCTGGTGTGGCTCAGAAGATGGAACACCGTCCCTTGGACTGAGAGGTCCCAGTCTGATTCCTGGTCAGGGCACAGGCCTGGGCTGCAGGCTTGATTCCCAGTAGGGGTGAGCAGAAGGCAGCCAATCGATATTTGTCTCTCTTCCTTCCCCTCTCTCTAAAAAAAGACATTATCATTTCCTTCAGCATTACCAAATGGAATCACTGTCATCTCCTTTCAAAGAAGTCCACTTTTTATTTTCTAGAAATATCACTCTCCTCCCTCTGTATTCCTTCCCTTAAAAGCTACACCCTGGTCCCGGCCTGCTCTATCAGGGGTTAATGGGAGGGCAAGAGGCCCACACATCACCATCACATTTTAACAGTGAGTTCACAAACTTTTAAATATGTGATCAGCCCCTCTCTGGACAGACGGCCCTTCATAACAATGTGAAAATACAGTCCCCACCTGGGGTCTCCTGGGAGTTCTGTACCAAGATGTGGCGGCCTAACCAGTACCCCTTTTCTCCTCCCCACAGCCTGCTTAAACACACCTTGCCCACTGCTTTTCCCTTTGCAGACAGCCATCCTTGGTGCCCCTCGGGCCCAGGGTGTGCACACAGGCATCTGCCTGGGAGGGTGGGCTCTGGAGCCCTGAGCCCCAGGGACCTGGAGTGGGGGATTCTGGGGAGAGGACACAGCCCCTGGCTCCATGGACCTCACCCAAGGGGGGGGGGGGGGCGGCGTGAGGCTGTCGGGAGTGCAGGCCGGGGCACCTCTCACCAGGGTTTGAGGGAGATACTGCCTTCACGCAGCAGGGCTTGTGGAGGATTCCACAGCTCTTAGGATGTTCCGGACCGGGGGCAATTCTGTTTATGCGGCAGACTTCAGCCAACCAGGTTGGGCCTGGCTTCTCAAACAAGATCGAACCCTATCATAATTTGCATTGTCCCTATTGGCCAACCTTTGCAGTGCCGCTAAGTAAAAAGATTAAAAAGGGTATAATGTTATAATTTCCTGTATCCAGATGAAGTCAAAATGGTCTGGGTTTCAGACTTTAGTCGCATCTCATTTTCACCTGAAGAAGTTGTGGGGAGGGAGGAGGGTTTGGGGAGCGCCACGGCTACCTGGGGGGGTGGGGGTGCCACGGCTGCCTGGGGGGGTGGGGGTGCCACGGCTACCTGGGGGGTGGGGGTGCCACGGCTACCTGGGGGGGTGGGGGTGCCACGGCTACCTGGGAGGGTGGGGGTGCCACGGCTGCCTGGGGGGGTGGGGGTGCCACGGCTACCTGGGGGGATGGGGGTGCCACGGCTACCTGGGGGGGTGGGGGTGCCACGGCTACCTGGGGGGGTGGGGGTGCCACGGCTACCTGGGGGGGTTGGGGGTGCCATGGCTACTGGGGGGCTGGGGGTGCCATGGCTACCTGGAGGGGCCACAAGAAGTATCTAAAATCTCCACTGACTCCAGTTTTCGAGTACATCTCGGCTGTGCCTCCGGTGGTTATCGAAAGAAGGGCCAATTTACCCTGCAAAGGAGAAAGCAAACGCATTTATGTGAACTCCAGAGGAGGAGACAAATCAATGTTACTGTGACTCTGGCCAGCACAAAGCTTTGCAATGACCAGGAGGGGAAATCCGAGGCAGTTCACTCCAGGGAGGGACAAATGCAACATTCCCATTTCCAGCAAGGCCAGCTCCAGTGGACAAGTCCATCCACTGGGAGGAGAGGAGGGAGCAGTCAGAGGGAAGAGCCTGGGCGGCTACACAGCTCCGACCTGCCCCACTTGCGGCAGACAGAGGGCTTCAGGGATGAGGTGTGAGAGGTGGGTGAGGCCAGGTGCTGAGCTGCAGGCTGGGAGGGCTGAAGGAGGCACAGGCCACACGGTCCATGGCGCTACTCAGTAAATGGTAGCTTTACTTCTGGTCTAAGTCAGATCTTTGTGATTTGTTGTTTTCCTTATACGCACTATTTTCTGAGGCTTTTAGAATTTTAAAAATCATGGATTTTAGTAATAAATCCATAGCTACCATGTATTGGATATCTACCAGCTTCCACGTGAAGCTCTGAGCTCCCCGGGGTGAGGCCAGGGCTAGCCCGCGCCGGGAGCGGAGCAGCCAGCGCGCTCGGAGCAGGGCCCAGCACACGTGGCCTGCTGGCCCCACTGGCCCTCCCGACACCAGCCCCAGCCTCGCCGCCATGCACGTGGTCAGCTGTGGATGTGTCTGTCCCTCACCAGACAGACAAAGCTCCAAGACTTCAGAAACATTATTTTCTTCACCCAGGTACCACACACAAAGGGCTTTCTTGGCACATAGTTGGTGCTCAATCAATATTTGTTCTTAAAAAAGCAAACCAGAAACGTATCATGATGAGATGCACCCGGCACTCACCGCGTCTGTAGTGATCCCAATCCCAGAGCACTTACCTGAAGGAACCCAGAATCATCGAATCCTGGGATGTCGAAGGCAAACCCCTGGCACAACACCCTGTCCATCCAGCCCTTCAGGATGGCCGGCACGCTGAACCAGTACAGCGGGAACTGGGGACAACATCAAAGACAAGCAAATGCTGTGGTTGGCTCGGGCTTCGTGGCGCACTCCTTCTGTGACTCAGAAGGAATCCCGCTGTCCTCTTTCGGGAGAGGACGTTTCTTCCCTTTCCATCTGAGGCACGCAGTGTGGGTGTGTGAGGGTGGGAGAGGGCGGGCGGGCTTGGCAACGGTCCTGGCTGCTGTTACAGGTGGCTCTGCATCCCCAGTGACAGCCCCCTTGTGCTCACCCCCGAGCAGACGGGAAGCCCTGCTAGACACTGCTCCGTGGCAGCAGTCTCCGGCAGATGCAGTGGAAGGAACAAGAGGAAAGTGTGGAAAGAGTCTGCCCTTTGGGTGCCTGGAGGCGAGTACTGGCATCTGGGAATCAGAATGAGTTGGTTCTGAGAAACTGCAGATTTGACAAAAACTAAAGCCTGACCCTCAGATTCCACACACCAGCAGTAAGATCTCGCCAAAGTTCTCTGTGTTCCCATGGAAACCCTAACACTGTATTCAACAATGTCATCAATGAAAAGAGGTAGACAGACAACAATCTGTTACTAAAGTGAAAGGAAGCCTGTGCTTCATGGGCTTTCACTATAATTCTAACTGGGCACTTGGCACGAAATCCAAGCTGCTCTGTGCCTCCTCTTCCTAACGTGCAAACAGGGCCACTCCCAGACCCAGCTCACAGCATACAGATAACTGCTCAGTGCAGCGTGAGCTCCGGTGGTAACCGTAGTAGTGGGGCTGAATGAAAGAAATAAACTAACAATGCAGACCCTCTTGGCAAAGTATCAGGATGAGGGCAGTGGGTGAGAGAAGAGAGGTGACCTGGGGTAGGATAAAAAAAAAACTTAATAATGTCAACAATAAAAATAAAGTTAACCAAAACAAACCATTATAAAAAGAACAGGCCTTGGCCTGCCTTAGCTACCCAGTCACATGAGCGGTCAGCGGACCCCAGGGAGACAGGAAGGGGAGCCAGAGCTGCGCGCGGTTCTGAGGCCAGTGCTGACACAGCCCCATCGTCCTGGTGCCAGGAAGGGGTGGTCCTGTTCTCCTGCCCACTTCCTGCCCTCAGAGTTGGGAAACAGACTCTCCGGATCCATCAGTTCCATCTTGGAGATTCTGGATCTAGAGACTCCAGCCCTTGGTGTGAAGCGAGAGGACCGACCAGCGGGCGGAGAGAAGCAGATGAGACTCAGAGAAAGAGCAGAGGTGTCCAAGCCTGTTTCCACTGTCCCTCGCCACAGTCTGTCCTTGGGTTCCAGGAGACCAGGGCCCTTAGAATAAATTCCTCCTTTTTTCTAGTTTGACTTGGATTTCCATTAACCTGATGACTCCCCAGAAGCATGTGTTTATTTTGCTGCCAGGCTTAGGGTCACACCCACGACTGCAGGCCTGTCTAGCTGTGGCAGGGACTGGCCTTGATGAGGCAGGGCCCCTAGAGCAGTGTCCTGGGCCAGTTCTTTCAGTAGTGAATCATGGCCCTGGAACAATTTGTGAATGAACACAGGGATGGCGGCCAGGTGAAGCAACCAGTGAGAGGCAGGAAACAAAAGACTTTCCTCTTAATGATCGGGATGCTTAAGGCAGGAGCTGCATATGACCTGCTGGTGTGACAAAGCTGGTCTCCTACAGCCTTGCCTGTCTGGGGTGGGGATCAGAGGGGAATAGAAGCAACATGATATGCACGATTTGGACATTTCTTGGACCACTTGGCTAAAGGCAAAATAATTCTGCCCAGCTGATGTGGATCAGTGGCTGAATACTGACCCGTGCACCAAGAGGTCACCAATTTGATTCCTGGTCAGTCAGGGCACATGCCCAGGCTGTGGCCAGGTCCCCAGGGGGTCGTGCAGGAGGTGGCCCGTCTATGTTCTTCTCTGTCACCGATGTTTCCGTCTCTCTCTCTCTCTCTCTTTTCCTTTCCCTCTCTAAAATCAAGAAAGAAAAAAATTAAGGCAAAATACTTCCTATTTACTTGGAGGTCAGGATTCTGAATGAGAGATACTGGCTATATGGAACTCCTTACCCAACTAGACATAAATAAGTGTATAAATGTGCTAAAAATATCAACACCACCTCTAGGAGCATGATATCCAATATTTGGAAAGAGTTTGTCCATTGAGTGAATCTAATTCATTATAATAATTAGAGAAAAACAAACCTGAAATATCACTAGATCAGCCTCCTGAACCTTCTTCTGCTCGTCGATTATGTCACTGGTAAGAGACAGCTTCTTGCAGGCTTCATATGCTTCCACCCCATAACTGAAGAACTCAGGATTAGAGAGGGCACCTGGAGAGGAAGAGGCCAAAGGTTCTCGCTCTCAGGGGAACATCCACGGCCCATCCAGGCCAATCCTACCAGTGTCATTTACCCTGGACTCCCCAAAGCAAGCCACCAGACATTTACTGAGACCTAACCAGGTGGTCAGGCTATAGAAATAAAAAGAAAGGATCCTACTGTCCTTACCGTTAAGGGACTCAAAGTCCAGTCGGAGAAGTAGTTAAATAACTGACCAAATGATTAACATGCAAAACAGATTGGTCAGCCAGCTCAGTCTAATGTTGTGGCCAGATCAGCCTCACGTCCCACAGTCAAGATGCATGTGGTCTAACTCTGGGTGTGTATTAAATACAGTGGTGGCCCAAAGGGGCAGTGACCAGCTCTGTTTGGGTGGGTTAGAAAACACATCCTGGGGATGAGCTTTGTGAATTGGGATTGAGCAGAAGTCTCCAGGTAGCCTGGAACACTAGAGGGACGTGGAGGGATGTCCTGGGCGAAAGACATAGGGCAGTGTGTCCGACAACCTAGACGGCATAGAAAAGAGCCACCAGGAGCACTTCTGAGGAGCAGGGGTGGAAAGTCAGTAGGGGCGCTTGTGATATGACGGCAGAGATGCACCTTCTGGTCGCGTGAGACTCAATAAGGAGCTTAAACATTTCTTGCACATGGGGAACCACATGGTTTAAGAAGAGAAAAACGCCTTGGCCAGTGTGGCTCAGTTGGTTGGAACCTTGTCCCGTGCACCAGGTTGAAGGTTTGCTTCCCAGTCAGGACACATATCTAGGTTGTGGGTTTGATCCTGGTCAGGGCACGTACTGGAGGCATCTGATTGATCTCTCTCTCTCTCTCCCCCTTCTTCCTTCTCTAAACATAAATTTTAAAAAAAGAGAAGAGAGCCCTGGCTGGTTTGGCTCAGTGGTTGGAGTATTGGCCTGCGGACCAGAGAGTCCTGGGTTCGGTTCCCACTAAGGGCACATACCAGAGAGAGAGAGAGAGAGAGAGAGAGAAGAGAAAAAATAAACTCTCTGATTTGGGCTTAGAAAAGCTTACGGTAGCAGCCATGGTTTGAGAACAAGCCTGGGGGTGGGGGGAGATCAGGTGGTAGCAGTGGGTGGAAGGTGTTTCAGGGCTAGAACTGATAGTACTACCCACAGCAACTAAAATGAACGATAAGTTATCTTGATCTACACCTTGAATTGGGCTCTTCTCAACTAAGATGATTCCTCAGAAGGCAGTAATCAGCATTAACAACAAGTGACCATTTACTGAGCACTTGAAGTTATCAGGTGCTCTACATACTTCATCTTCTCTCTCCACAAGAACTGATGAGATGGCTGCAATTCCCAATCTACCAAAGAGGAAACTGTGACTAAAGAGAGGCCAGTGAGCCCTGGCCAGTTTGGTTCAGTGGTTACAGCGTCGTCCTGCGGTCCCGAGAGACCCGGGTTCGGTTCCCGCTAAGGGCATGTACCTCAGTTGCAGTTTGTCCCCGGCCCCAGTTGGGTCATGTGGGTGGCAACCACTCGATGTGTCCCTTTCACATCGATGATTCTTTCTCTCTCTCTTCTTCTCTCTCCCTCCCACTCTATCTGAACAAAAAAATGGAATAATATCCTCGATTGAGGATAAAAAAAAAGAGAGAGGCCAGTGACTAGTTGAACACTGCAGGGCCCTAAGTGGCAGCAGAGGTGGATGGAGGGAGGCACCGTGTGAACCACTCCACACTTGGGGTCTGGAGAGGAGCAGGCAAGCTCCCGGCCGCCTGGAGGGGAGCCAGGACTGGACCCGCAGTTCTTCGATAGATTCAAAACTGAAAAACGTCAGCATTCTTTGCTTCCTCTTTTAACCTACCTATATTTCATTTTCATTAAAAAACCAAACACATACTGAGTGCCTTCTATACATAAGGTTCAGTAGTGACAGGAAACCCTAAGAGGGTAACTGCTGTAGGCAAGACACTGTGTTCTCATAGGGAGGGTACCATGTAGGGTTTGGCTCCCCACAGTACACAGACCTATAGCAGACATGGGGGTAAGTTTATAATCAAACAGACGTGAGAGAGATTAGAAAGAAAAAAAGACCAAACTTAATAAATACATACATACATATGGGAATCCCACGTACACGAGAGAGACAGAGACCCCCCCCCACACACACACACACATACACACACATGCAGAGAGGCTCAGAGACAGAAAGGGACCATGGGTATAGAAGACACTCTGAGCTAGGGATGAACTAAGGTGCCTTAGGGGCTGCAAAGGGTCATTGCAGCAGTATTAAAAAAAAAAAATCAGATATTTAGTAAATAGAAGTTTGTTCTGCCCTTCAGATAGGTCAAAAGAGGTTACCTCTAATCTCTTATGGGCAAGGCCCCTAGCTCAAGTTCTTCTAGGACCCAGAAGAATCTAGTTAGGTAAAGGAGGGGCAGAATTTTGTCTTGAACACATGGCTAAAGTTGCCTTTAGCTCAAAAAAAATCCCATACCACAGAGACACATCTTGGGGTGACTTGTTCTGAACCCCCACAATAGTAAACAGAGACAATGAAATGTTCATGAACCAAATATATTCTAGGTAAATTTAAAAAGCAAATATTCAAGGAGAGCACAGTTTGCCACCCCCAAACGTGTCTCCTTTATTTTAGGCTGATTAATTTTAAGAAACAGTAGGCAAGAGAGAAGCTCTGAAAACCAAGTAGAAGTTATTCTTTGTAATGTGGATAAACAAGGGTACGGTATAAATCCGACCAAGTAACTTCACAGGGTGATTAAATTTAACCTGGCAGGCCATGGTGGGTAGTCACACCTCAAGCCCACAAACTTCTCTAGTAAAAGGTTATCTCTGCCTTAGGCAAGCCCTAGCCATTGTTCTGGGCATTGTTTTGTCCTTGCCCATTGTTCATCTATTAACACACCTTTGAAAGCCCAGAAGTAATCCTTTTTTCCTGACCATCTTCAAAGGAGCACATAATCTTGTTAACTGCCCTGTGCCTTGCTTTCTCCCACTTTAATGTAATCTTCTTTACATTCCCTCCTTAATTCCAAGTGCATAAAAGAAACTGAAAACTGCCATTCACAGGAGCATCTGAGATCTTGCTTTCCAGCAATGTCATCAGTTTGGGCTCAAATAAACTTGTACAAATTCTCTACAGGTCTGAACCAGAAGAGGAAGATACCTAAATCTCTAGAAACTGTTATCAGTGGAGAAGGCTTTAAGTTACATCTGCATAAGCCTATCCTAGATTACTGTGCTTTTCCTGGTAACCTCCCATAACTGACTCCCACCGCCAACACCATCTTTTGTCTTAAGCTAAAGATGGTATTTAAGGTGATGGTTCCTGCCATTTTGAAGAGTTACTCACTTTGCCTGAGTCTTTCTCATGTGTATAGGAAGTATACATGCTATTGAAGTTTAATTTGTTTTTTTCCTGTTTTATGTCAATTTAATTAGACCAGCCAGAAGAACCTAGAAAGGGAGAGTAAACATTGTTCTCCCCAACAATATCAAAGCAAAGGTATCCAAGTGTCACAGGAAAATAAGAATATTTTTATAAGTGTAGGTGTAGAGAGGCCTTTCTAAGCAAGACAGAAATCCAGAGCCATCAAAGAAAAACTGACACATGGCTTAAAATAAAAGTTGGAAACAACATAAATATAAATCAACAGAGGAATTGGTAGTTATAATACATACTGTTACCATTGTAATTAGCTAGTTATTAAGAACAGGAAAGGGCCCTGGCCTGTTTGGCTCAGCGGTTAGAGCGTCCACCTGCGGTCCGGAAAGACCCGGGTTCGGTTCCCGCTAAGGGCACGTACCTCGGTTGCAGTTTGTCCCCGGCCCTGGTTGGTCGTGCGGGTGGCAGCCACTCGATGTGTCCCTTTCACATCGATGTTTCCCTCTCTCTCCCTCCTACTCTGTCTGTACAAAAAATGGAAAAATGTCCTCGGATGAGGATTAAAAAAAAATAAAATAAAATAAAAAAAAAAAAGAACAGGAAAGGAGCAAAGGGAAGGCCAGACATTACAAGCATGGCCACCTGGGCAGCTTCACCAGGAAGCAGCAATTTCACACTCCCCAGGGAACCTCGGCCCACTCCCAGTAGATCACTGGGCGAAGGGACTGAGCTATGGGGAAGATGGGTGCATGCACAGTAAGTCTGGGTGACACAGGAAAAATACTTGCCTGACAGTCTAACCTGGGAGCAAAGATAAGTGGCCAGAGGAGTGGGACCACTGCAAGCCCACAAATTTTGGGGAATACATAATCCTGAGACAAAGGAATTCTCTCTCGTTCCTCTGGCTTTGCTCCTGCTTCCCTGCACTCATCTGTGTTCCCTCCATAGCCTTGTGGACCTACAAGTCACATGGCCTCTGGCCGTGTACACCCCACGCACAATGGCACAATGGACTGCAGCTGGGAACACAAAATAAGCTCGTCTGAGGCTAGACTGACTGTGCACTATGGAGCAGAAACTCTGGACACTGGATTTAAGTCTAGCCCCCCTGAAGACAAGACGGGACTTTTTCCTTTGTGAGATGGAGGGGGATGGAACCTTGGAAACTCAGGGGTTTAATTCTATGCAAATAAATATCATTCATTCTCGTGAGAGTCTTGGAAAATTCATTTTCTTGTGACATCACAAGAAGCCCACTTCCACCAGCAACAGATGAGGACAAAGAGAGCTCCCCCAACAATACCAATACCAAAGAGTGCTACATAATCTTTACAAACACTCTGAAAGCTGTAAATGAATAAAGCAAATCCCATAATACTGCCTATATTTATATCTGTGTCCACGGAATTTCAAACCTTATACATAAATACAAAGTAGCATTGATATTTAAAGTTAGATCTAAACGATCCAGAGCAGAAAGTTAAGCTTATTTGACCCAGAGTGCAGTGGAGGGCTATGTGGAAGGGCCTGCACTTTCTATCTTACCTTCACTTTGTTCTCCTATATTTTAAAGTATTTTTTAAAATAAACTGTTATTTTATTCACTTAAAAAC